TGGCCGCCGCCCACCCCGCAGGCGCTCTCGGCACCGCCGGTGCTGGGGAGAGCGATGCCCGGAGGCGGCCGGGTCAGGTGGAATCATTCATCTGCATCCACAAGCGGCGTGTCTACGTGTGTGTGTGTCTGTGTATGTGTGTGCGGGAGCTGATGAAAGCTCGTGAGGAACCACTCCGAAGCACTGATCCAAAAAAAAAGGTGCTGTTCAAAAGTATTTTTAAGTTGCTAAACGGGATTGAGGTGAAATCAGCCGACCTTCCCTCCATGTCTCAGTGCCGGCATCCTCAGAGTCAGGCAGCGAAGCTTGGCACACCTGCCATTGTGGGGCTGCTCTCATCCCATCCCAAGTGGAGTTTATCCTCTCTGTGGAGTGACAACCATCTGATCTCTGGAGACACTCGATGCACGTATATCTGCCAGGAGATTTTCCTTCGCATCCTTATGCCTGTTGGCTTGCAGAGATACCTGGCAGATATCTCATGGCCACACAAGCCTGATGGATCTGCACCATCAGCGTCACTCTGCCTCTCCCATCAGTGGAACCCTCTCTTATCAGCAGAACTCTCTCCAGGTGTGCTTTCAGAGCACGATAGCTTGGGTGTCCCGAGTTCTTACAGAGAGGGGGACAGATTTGCACCCTCTCCCCTGTTGCTCCAGCAGCCTGGTAGTAGGGTATGCATTATACCTGAAGAGCAGCTCCTTTTCCCACCTCCTGGCAACACGGCCTTGTCTCCAAACAGAGGCAGCCATGAGCTGGTGGAGGTGTCTTAAATCACAGCTTTGAAACTGCCCTAGGTTGCATGGAGTGATAAAGTGTTTGCAGGACTTGATGGGCTCTGGCTAATGTTGTAATCTGACTATGAAGCCTGCTGATTAGGACAGTCAACAGGGCACAGGGCTTGGCTTTTGCTGCAGTGAATATTTAAGCACATAAGAAAGAGTAGTAGAGCTTTAACAAGAAAAAAGTTGTGAGAATCCAAGGTATTATATCATATAGCTGAGTCATTAGAGAGTTCTTGTGGGAGATGTAAATGTTAGTTCCTTCAGGCAGAGAGGAGATTTGAGTCTCCCATGTTTAGTGTGTGGTGTTTAATCACTGAGGAACTAAAAAGCTGCTTTTCTTGCTCCATTTTGTGAAAAGGGCGAGGATTCAAGGTCACACACATAGTGAGAGCTTTTGCTGCCTGTTACTGAATTTCGCCGTACCATCTTGCCTCTCCCTCCTAACCTGGCTTATCTAGCTCTCAATTGGTGGGGGGATAGGGGTGGCTTTCGAGAAAACTCTGCCTTTTGCAGCCTAATTCCTTTTATCTGGAATGCAGACTTTCAGCTCAAGTCTCCAGGTACCTGAAAGGTAGACTTGCAACCCTGGCTTCTTCCATGGCTGTACTGCCTTTGACAGACACTACAGAGCAATTGACACAAAATTAAATAAGATTCTGCCTTTTCTGAGAGCCAGATAATATTTTTTTAAAAACTGATAATCAGATAGAAGACCATATTTTAAGATAATACTGGCTGAATGTGAGCTCCCTCCAACTCTTTGTGTAACTCTCACAGATTTCAGGACAGAATCACAAAGGTGCCCACAGTCTGTCTGTATCTTGGTGCTTGGTGCACTACTGAAGTCTTAGATTGTCTTTAATGAGATACTCACATGTGTAAACATTTTTTAGATAAGAGCTTGATATTGCAAGCCAACTTCCGTTATAAATTCTTGTTCTATCTGCTTATAACTTTCCCAGAACAATTTCCTTGAGGAATTAAGTCTTCTATGATGAGCTGCAGCTCAAAGATGATTTTTTGAATGTTTGAACAGAGTCCAACTACTTTTAAAACACATAGGCTATGAATACAGATTAGTTGCTTTCTAGCCTTAAAAATTTGTGCAAAAGCAAGTCAAAAAGGATTGAGCTGCAAAGTTTGAATGCACCTAATCGACATCAGCAAGCCTGAAAAAGAATTAAAATAGTAGTATTGTTATTGCTGAATTGGTTGTTTTGCCCACACTAACGAACTTACGTTCATTTTAAATAGTTGGTAGTCTTTGGGGCTGCTTTTTAGTGCAGCATATGAAAGTTTCTTTCAATGGGGTGTATATAGTTTTCTTCTTATACAAGGGAAACTGAAGAAAAAATGAAATTTAGATAGCAGTGTTATTTTTTTCTGCATAAAGTGGTCACTGACCGGTTAACAATCCAAATGATGGTCTAGACTAGACATAGCACATCTGAAGTGGTATGTTTGAAATTAATTTTTAGTGCTGTAAATATGAACATTTCCCTGTTACACCCTTTGTCTTTGTTTATCTGTTTTCTTTAGGTATACACTTACTTCTCATGCTTTCATTTTTTGTAAACCTCAGTCTAAGCATGCAAATGGGATTCTCAGATTAATTATTTTAATTTTTTTCATACTCATTAAGGTTTATGAAATTAAAATTAAACCACTGAAATTTATAATTGTTATGGGTTGTGTTCTCTAGTTGTTCAAAGTGGGGAAAGAAATTTCATCATATACCTGATTTACAAAACACCAAATATTTAAAAATTCAGCCACCACACAACTTACCACAGGTGGACAGTAAGTGAAATTACCCAATAGTTATTCCAGACAGGTCCACCTGCTATTTTTTAATTAACCATATTGATCAGCTAGCTGGACGCAGAGGTTCTTGTGTCATCATTGGATGGATTCAGCACCTTGCTGGCCATGGTCACTGCTCATGACTACAGGGCAGACAGTCCTGCAATCCCATCATTACCTCGGTTGGAGACGGTAGACTGCTGCAGTGTTGCCAGGATAGAGGAATCCCTTTGGATTGCATCTCCTGAATACATGCTTCCCAAATGAGCAAGCACAGATGAGATTGATGCAGTCCTTGCTGCCAGGCAGGGAGAGTGAATATCTGAAATAACACTTATTTCAACTTCAAAATCTTATGATTCAGGCTAGTGCAAGAGAACAAGATCTTCACAGTGTAAATATTTAGAGATCTGTTTCCCATATATGTAATATTTCTTCAGACAGGAAGCAACAAACCTTGTTACTACCACAGATTCTCCAAGGATACCAAAAAAGCAGTATTTTAATATTTTCTTTGTTTGGCTCCTTTACTATTTTACACAGTTGTGTGCATTCATATATGCAGTAGTTTATGTCTTTGTACAGAGAAATTTTAAAGCCAACAAACAGGAATACTATGGGGTTTTTACTCAAGACAGTCAGAATTATGACAAATCAGTCTGATGTGTGCTTTAAATCCTGTGTGACTGCTTCATAAATAAA